TGAGGGGAGACATAGTCTGGGAAGAAGTAATTAGTCATTTGGGGTGTAGGGGTGTTCTGGAGGACTAGCACCTCTAGTGTGAAGGCTTGCCCAACCCTTTTCAGGGCTGCTCATCCATCTTTGGTGTCCACCTGACTCACCCAATTCTCACCTGTGCTCCTAAGAAACAGTAGCATGTGTAGCGGCCGCACACCGCTTGGCAGTGGGCTAAACTAGGCTGAGGGTAACTGACAGGCCTTAAACATGTTGGTGAATAAGGGGGATGTCTACCCTAAGAAAGTGAAGACTTTTCCTGGCAGAATGGGTGGATGAGAACATTTTGGTTCAATGGCCATGAAGGTGGCTGAAGCAGGGCTGTGGAGCACTTAGAGCTTGGCCAGGCATCAAAGCCACCAAGATCATCCTGGGCCGTTGCCTGCCATCCTGACTTTTGTCCTGACACTGGATGTTGATGACTCCAGGAGAGGGAGGCTGGTGACTTTGTGCAACTCTACCTCACTTAAATCCAATTTACTCGAAAAGTCAAGACATCACTCTGGTCCTCTTGCAAGTCAAAGGACAAACAACAGTTAGTTATTCTCTGGTGTTCCAGCCTGTGAGTGACAGTGAGGGCTGGAACAGTGGACCCAGAGAGGGTGCTATAAATGCAAAGCTTCTAGCTTATAAAAGCTATCCAAATGGAATGTCTTGGAACCTCATCACAGTCACATGTAGCACTGAACACTACATTTAGCACTTGTCTCAAAAATGTGCTAAAGTCTCTAAATAGTTCAGAATTTCTTTAAAGGTGGCAATATACAAAAAGCAGAAAAAGCAATCCTATTATTTGCTCCTTGAAAGAAAAAACACAGCAGAGGGGATCTGTAGAAAGGCTAGTGTTTAGGACCATATATCCCACCCCATAACTATCCATCAATCCCACCCTTCTGGCAATCAGCCTTTAAAAAAGCTAATGTTTGTGCAGAGGGTTGCACAGGACGGAAGTGATCTGGGCTTGTTTCAAAGCAGTAGGCAAAGAAGCAATGAAATAAGGAGATAAATCAGAGAGAGAAGGGATTGATCTGAAAGGCCAGGGGATGGGGTTGGCAAGGAGAAGGGCCACCCCTTCCTCTAAGACAGTAATAAATAAGGAGAGAGTGGAGAGTGATGGGGAAATGATTTGAAGTATAGAGTTAGGGAGAACAGAGCTCCTCTCAAAAAAATTTTTTGAGTATTGTCTCAGGATGAGACAAGTTCTTGACTTTGATAGAAGTGGAAGAGGGTGTTGCAGTTGGGTTGAGGAAGGGAGGTTTGAAACGGCATCTTAAACCACAGAAATACTCAATATAGAAAGTAACATCCTAAGAAAAATTGGAGAATAGAAAGAGGTATTTCCACACCTGTGGCTAGAAGATAAATAATCTTCAAAATTGGTATCTTTTACAGGTAAATAATCTTCATAATAGGTATCTTTTGCTTTAGCATCACCTTCATTTCCTAATCAACCTCTCCCCCACCCAGAGTTGTCTCTTATAACAAAGAATAAAAAAGAGGGAAAGAAAAGAAGTTCATCAAACTAATCAGCATATTCACTGAGTCTAACATTATAGTCAGTGTTCCACAGCCGTAGGAGAAAGGATTAAGAAGGGAGGGAGGTGCCTTCGCATATCTCTTTTCTGGGGAAATCTTGGTCATTATAATTATACGGAGTTCATTTTTAGAATTGAAATTGAAATTCAATTTAAAATTTTCATTGAAGTTGACACTGTTGGAGTAACACACACACATACATGCAAATATCCATATACACACAAACACATATTTATGCATATATACATACATACATGTGTATATATACATATATACACACTATATACACATACACACACACATATATATATACATACATACATACATATATCACGGTAAAGTGACTTGCCCAGGGTCACGCAGCTAGTAAGTGTCTGAGACTGCATTTGAACTGAGGTCCCTCCTAACTCCGGGGATGGTGCTCTAATCACTTCACCACCTAGCTGCCCCATATATAAAAATATACATATACATATACACACATATGTATATACATATATATTTATGTATATGTGTGTATGTGTCTATATATATAATATATATATATGTAGATAGTTTCCCTGATTCTATTTATTTCACTTTATATCTGTTCATTTAAGTCTTCACAGGTCTCAGAATCCCTCATACTCATCATTTTCTTCTGAACAGTAACATCTCGTTACATTTATGTACTGCAATTTGTTTGGCTACTGCCCAACTGATGAGCATCTACTTTGTTTCCTGTTCTTTGCTACCACAAAAAACGGCTGTTATAAATAGTTTGATGTCTATTGTCCTGGTTGTGGAATGTTACATACACTTTCAGATACAATGACCACATTGATTGGATTTGTTTAGCTGTTTTTCCTTTGGTACAAGGGGAGATTTAAAAGAAGTTGAGGTTAAAGTTAGGGACCCTTAATTCCAGAAATGACATCTAAAAACAAAGGATATTAATTACATGTCTTTCTTCCGTCATTCCTTCTTCCTTTCCAAAAAAAAAAATGGTACAAAGTTAATTGTGATGAGGATAAAAGAGATACTCAGACCAAGTGCTCTAGGGAAATTGAGGAGGGAATGACCAGTTTTCAGCTTGTGGGTGCTTAGACAATATTTTATTCGAGAGCTAGGTTGAGCAGTGGATAGAGTGCTGGGCCTGGAGTTAGGAAGACTCATCTTCCTGAGTTCAAATCTGTCTTCAGACACTTACTAGCTGTGTGACCCTGGGCAAGTCACTTAACCCTGTTTGCCTCAGTTTCCTCATCTGTCAAATGAACTGGAGACGGAAATGGTAAACTGCTCCAGTATCTTCGCCAAGAAAACCCCAAATGGGGTCATGAAGAGTCAGACGCAACTGAAAAATGACTGAAACAACAAGCTGCTTAAGGGCAGGGACTGTCTTTTGCCTTTATTTGAGTCCCCAGAGCTTAGCAAAACGCCTGGCACGTAAATGTGCATTGAGTCTCTCTCTGTCTCTCTGTCTCTCGGTCTCTCTGTGTCTCTATCTCTCTCCTGCCTTCCCTGTCTCAACCTTTCCCTCACTTCCTCCTCTCTTCTCCTCACTCCACACTTTCCCTGGCAGAACAGCAGATGAGAACAATTTGTTCCAATGGCCATGATGTTGTGGAGTTTTTAGAGCTTGGTCAGGTATCGAAGACCCCAAGATCATCCGCTGCATCCCGGGCCATCACCAGTCATTTTGCCTTTTGACCTGCCACTGGACTTCGATGATGCTGGAAGAAAGAGTGAGGCTGACAACTTTGTGCAACTCTGCCTCACTTAAATACAATTCCTTCAAATGACAAGACATCACCCCATGATGTCATTGGTCCTCTTCAAAAATAAGGTCCAGCAACAACAACAAAATCATAGTAGAGAACTTACATTTTAGTCTCTGATGAGTCATTAATCAGTTTATGGTGCCATAAATTTCTGCAAATTGGGGAAAAGATTCCTGTCCTTCTTGTCTGTCTTTCTTGTCAGTCTCTCTGACTCAGCCAGAGTCAGGGAGAGAGAGAGAGAGAGAGAGAGAGAGAGAGAGAGAGAGAGAGAGAGATTCTTTCCCAAGAAAAAGTTTTTTCACTCTTTCTGCTTGGGTTGATAAGGCCCCAGAAAAAAGTTAGCTTGACTTTCAGACATAGATAAAATGACAAGACAATCTCTCTCACACACACACACACACACACACACACACAAAGCACTTACTAACAAAGTTCCTTAAAAAAAAATTCAGTGCGCACCAATGGAAGTTTCCTTTTTTAGGTCAAATTCTGGGACTTATATGTCTTTTAAACTAATAACTTTTCCCCTTTTCTGCCTGGGAAGAATCTTCTACCAGTTTGCCAGTCACTCACCAAGCAATGGTTATTTGGGACTGTGGGCTGTGCTTCTCACCAATAATAGTTACCTCTGACATGGTGCTTTCCCCAATTCTTTCCTCAAATAGGAATTATCTCTGTTTTTTTTTTTATTACTTCTTCAGTCTCCTAGAATGGAAGTTGATAATTTACCTAAAGGGTGTCTCAATGTTATGATATTTACCTGTCAATAACTCACCCCTCTTTATATGTAATTGGAAAAAATAAAATACTGTTAAGTGGAAAAAAATAAATAAAATTGGCATTTATATAAAGAAAGAAAAAAAAACCTTTCCCCTCTCCTGGCAAGAAACTAGGAGCCCTTTAAGAAGAAAACAAAGGAACAGCTAAGTGGTACAAGGTGGAGAGTGCTGTCTCTGGAGTCAGGAGGACATGAGTTCAAATCCAGTGCTCAGGCTCTTACTAGCTGTGTGATCCTGAGCAAATCACTTAACTCTGAAAGAAAATTTTTCCAAAGGTCTTAATCACTAATTTTGCTTCACAGGTTTACTATTACCAAATGCTCTTGATAGTTGCACTTAAACACAGATAGGACACCAGACAAACAAGCACAGACTCCCCTAACAGTGTCTGTGTGTGTGTGTGGTGGGGGGGGAGGGGTGGTTACGTTAGCTGGGAAAGGTTGGACTGGGACGACAATTCAAGCCAGGTGCAGCTCTCAGCAGAGATGTCCCTTTGTGCAAAATCTCAGTTGAGTGCTCTTAAAGGAGAATTCCCCCAAGGGGCTACCCCAGAGATCAACTTCCCTCCCCCAGACCTTTTTGTGGTTGCCAACCTCAAACAGTTAAAATTAAGGTAGACCAAAACACAAAGGTCCTAGTACCACAATTATTTTATTAGTAAAGCTCAAATTTACCAATAAATGGATTCTCAGCTTCCCCAGCAAAACTAAGACCCTGAATGAGGGGGACAGCTCCCTTTTATAGCTTTGGGGAGTGCAGAAAATAGGAAGGCTAGCACCATAGATGAGAGAAAATAGGATTGAATGGAGATTAGGAATGAGAGCTAGCAACAACCCCACCCCCCCCTCACCTTCCCTCCTGTGACTAAGAAATGTCCATTCCTTGAATCTAGCTAAATCTGCAAGGACAGAGACAGCAAACCAGACTTCTTTGGATAACAAACCAGACCTCCCTAAAGAACAGCTTGATGATGTAAAGATACTACACCAGGCTCCCTGGTGTCCACCCACCTCCTTTAAAGGTAACGTATTTCCTTGACACAAGAATAGAACAGTGATTAACAGAACTGGATTTCTAAACTTAACTCATTACGAGTCAGCTAAGTTTCTGAATTAAGTTAGAGACAAAGAATTATGACTCAGGCAGTTACAGGACAAAATCAATTAACTGTAAGTAGGAACAATTTTTTTAAAAAAGACAGAGAATCAATCTGATTATCAATTGATTTAATAATTAAATTAAACCAATAGATTTAAAAGTGGAAAGGACCTTAGAAGCCAACAACTACAGTTCTAATACCAGTTTCTTCAAGGCGGCTACCAGTGGCTTGAAATCATTTTCATCTACTTAGGGCACTTCCTATTCCTTCGCCAGTCCAGGAGATCTTATTATTTGCTGTAACTAGGTTTCCCGTTTTTGTCTATGCTGCTACTGGAATGGTTATAAATAGTTATAAAAACACAGGTTTTCAATTTCATACCAAATATCTTAAATGATTTCCATAGTATTTATTACAAATTGACTAGGTCTTAATCTCCTCCACATCATGGTAAACCACAAAACCCCAAATGTATTCTCTCCTGGGTCTTGGTAAGACCATATAAGTCAGGGCCCAAATTCCTTTAATGGGGCCATAGGCATGAAAGATGTATTCTAAGTGGTTGCACTCACAGCCTGACCTCCATGGCCATAGGTTAGGGGTGATTGCTGAAGGATTGTTTCACTCGTCAAGCCAACTTTGATGAGTGAGACCATCATTTATCACTCACATTTAAGAGAAGCCATGTCTAATCATCCCAATCTATATCTGGCCACTGGACCCAGACAGCTCTGGAAGAGAAAATGAGGCTGGTGACTTTGCACTGCCTTCTCTCACTTAAATCCAATTCACTTACAAGTCATGGCATCACCTTCCTGACGTTATGGTCATCTTAGAGAACCAAGGGCAAACTACAGCAACAACAATAACATTGAAGAAATCCTGAATCTGGGGCAGCTAGGTGGCGCAGTGGATAGAGCACCGGCCCTGAAGTCAGGAAGACCTGAGTTCAAATCCGGCCTCAGACTAAACACTTGACATTTCCTAGCTGTGTGACCCTGGGCAAGTCACTTAACCCCAATTGCCCCCCCCCAAAAAATCCTGAATCTCAGAGCATGTGCTGTCCAACTGGACTGCCTCAGCTTGAAGGACAATCTCATACATCAGTGAGGAGAAGAGTGTTCTAATGTGGTTTCCTAGTGCAGAAATGATGTGAAGCTCTCTAAAACCCATGTGGATTGGATTCATTTGGGCTCTTGTCCTAAGGCCTGGGGATTAGTCTAACTGCCCCAACCTGTGGTCTCTTTATAAGCCTCAATAAACAGGGTGTTCCAAAAGTCTTAGTGCAGTTTAATATATTAAAACTTAAATCTAAGCCATTAATAGCTTTTTAACAAGCTGTTGATCGCTTTTTAATTGCCTCCCTAACTTAAGGGACTGTAGGCATGTGCCACCATGTTTAGTCTTTTAAAGTCTTTTAAAGATGCGATGCATGGACCAGGGTCAAAGACTTTGAGATCTGATAGCCATGTTTATGGTGAGCAACACCTGACAGCATCCTTCCCAGTAGAGTTCCAAAACTGTCTTTTTTTTTTTTTTTTGGTGAAGTAATTGGGGTTAAGTGACTTACCCAGGGTCTAGAGTAGACCTAATTAGATTGAATTATTATTACTTAACTATATATTACTTAATTATTATTACTTAACTATATATAACCATCCCAGTCACCCAAGCTGGCAACCTAGATGTCATTGTCACCCCCCATATCCAATCAGTGGCCAGGTCCTGTAGATTTTACCTACTTGACATTTCTGACATAGGCTCCCTTTTTTTTCCTGGTGTAGGCCCTCTTCACCTCATACCCGGACTGTTACACAGGGGTGGGGAGCCTGTAGCCTTGAGGTTGGATTGTTTTCGAATTTGGTTGGTTTGTGAAGTGTGGATTCAGTCAAAGGGCCGCACTTGAGGAACTTGAGGACCTCGAGGTCCTCAGGTTCCCCACCCCTGCACTAGCCTGTTGGCTTCCTGAAGTGTTCCTAAAGTGAAGGTCTGACCATGTCGTTGCCCCTGTTCAATGAATCTGATGCCTCCCTGTCATCTCTAAGATTAAATATAAAATACTGTTTAGCATTCACAGCCCCTCACAACCTGCCCTGCTCCTACCCTTCCAGCTTTTGTATACCTTACTCTTCCCTTCTCTCCAGACTCCATGTACTCTGTGAACCCAGCGACACTGGCCTCCGTGTCATTCCTTGAGCAAGATACTACATCTCCAGACTCCAGGCATTTTCAGTATTTGTCCCCCATGCCTGGAACTTTTGTCCTCATCATCTCTGCCTGCTGCCCCCATCCTCCACCCCGGCTTCCTTCAAGTTCCAGCTAAAATTCCATTTTCTACTAAGAAGCCTTTCCTGATTCCCCTTAATGATAGTGCCGTCCCTCTGTTGGTTATCTCCAATCGATCCAGCAATCTACCTATCTGGTTTGTACATAGTTGTTTGCCTGTTGTCTCCCCCATTAGACTGTGAGCTCCTTGAGGGTAGGGAGTGTCTTTTGCCTTTTTTTACATTCTCAGGGCTGGCATCCTGGGCCATAGCCAGTTATCTTAACCTTTGTCTTGCTGCTGGACTCTGACAGAGGAGAGAACAAGGCTGATGACTTTGTGTAGCTCTGCCTTACTCAATCCAACTCATGCACAAGTCAAGACATCACACTTGTGATGTCACTGGTCCTCTTCGAGAATGAAGGATGAACAACAACATTCCCAGTGCTTGGCATAGTTCTTTACACACTTAATAGTGTTGTTGTTTCAGTTGTTTAGTCGTGTCTGAGTCTTCTTGACCCCATTTGAGGCTTTCTTGGCAAAGATACTGGAGTGGTTTGCCATTTCCTTCTCCACCTCATTTGACAGTTGAGAAAACTGAGGCAAACAGGGTTAAATCTGACTCTTCATGACCCCATTTGGGGTTTTCTTGGCAAAGATACTGGAGTGGTTTGCTGTTTCCTTCTCCAGCCCATTTCACAGATGAAGAAACTGAGGCAAACAGGGTTAAGTGACTTGCCCAGGATCACACGGCTAGTAAGTGTCTGAGGCTGGATTTGAACTCAGGTATTCCTGACTCCAGACTAGAAGCTGTGTCCACTGCACCACCTACCTGCTCTACGTTTAAGGGCAGACGATGAATGCTTATCAACTGACAGTACAAATAACATACAGGTGCCTTTAAAGTACTAGGAGGAAATCAGTACTTGAAAGTACTAGGAGGAAAGCAGCTGCCGTAGCTTTGCCAGAATTGTTGACTGGGTCATGGATGGCAGAGTGCCTTCCAAAAATTAGAATGTAAGCTATTTGGGAGTAGGGATTGTTTCATTGGATTTGCAATCCCCAGAGTCTAACCCCAGAACGAAAGGTAACACTGTTAATGTTTGTATATGCTAGTAAATGCTTCCTTTACACAGTCTAAATAATATACCAGATATTCAGCCTCATCCTGCTGGTAATTATTCATCTTTCCCCAGTCTGTTTCCTTAGAACAGGTCACAGAGATTGCATTAAGCAATTGCTACCCAGCCTGAACTAGGGCAGCTATGTGGTGAAGTAGATAAAATGCTGGGTTTGAAGTCAGGGAGACCCGTCTTCCTAAGTTCAAATCTGGTCTCAGACACTAGCTATGTGACCCTGGGCAAGTCACTTACCCCTGTTTGCCTCAGTTTCCTCATCTGTAAATGAGCTAGAGAAGGAAATGGCAAACCACTCCAGGGTCTCTGCCAAGAAAACCCCAAATGGGGTCACAAAGAGTTGGAGACCACTGAACGACAATAATCCTGCCTGACCAAGGTTCTGACCTTGTCTAGGGTCAGTATTTGCCATCACGCTTCTTCCTTGAATCTTTGCCTGATTGTATTTGGCAAATTGCTTTACTCTTCGTATTTGTACTTCCAGTTTTTAGCATAATACCTGGGCACATAGCAAGCATTTAATAAATGCTTTTTGATTGATTGATTGACTACAACACATTAGGTTTGATTTGCATCTTTGGAGGGGTTATAGCAACTAATGACAGTAGTCAATTCTTCCCTCAAGTTCTGAAAGGCCTCTCCTATCAATTAGGAAATTCTTTAACCAAGTTGCAAAAGTCATGTGGGGTCCAAGGGGTATCAACTGTTTGCCCTTGGGAGTTGGCAGAAAAAGGTCAAAGTCATCATCTCATTCCCTTTTATTAATTCTCAGTCAAGGAGCAAATTTTTGTGGTGCCTAGCTTGGCCTGAATCTGGGGGAAAGTCCTGGGGAGATAGTGGCATAGGGGAAGGTGGTTGTCCTAGCTGAGCAGAGGGAGGTTAGTCAGGAGGTCCTGGAGGGCTGAGAGGAACCTTCACTGTACCTGCAATGTGCTTGGTCAAGTTCCAAAGGATCCACTCCTCTTTCCTCCTCTCCATTGGCAAGGGCCAAGCAGGGGTAAAGAGGAATAAGAGAACAGGGGCAAAACTGGCTAGGAGCATTTTTTTAAGTTCTTGGACTTGGGCCTTCTTTCACGTTATTGTAGTGTCTTTAAGGCTACTGACTCGACACTCTTGATACCATTGCATAGTTTCTGCCTACCAATAATAGTTGTTATCGGTGTTGTATCTGACTCTTCGTGACCCCATTTGGCAAAGATATTGAAGAGGTTTGCCATTTCCTTCTCCAGCTCATTTTACAGATGGGGAAACTGAGGCAAACAAGATGAAGTGACTTGCCCAGAGTCACACAGCTAATAGTGTCTGAGGTCACATTTGAGCTGAGGATGATGAGCCTTCCTAACTCCAAGCCCAGCACTCTGCATTATGGCGCCACCTAGCTGCCCAATCAATAATAGTAACAGCTAGCATTTCTTTAGTGCTTAAGGTTTACCAACCACACACCTTTACATCTCCCAGTCTCAGTTTCCTCATCTATAGGGGAACAGGGAAAGTAATGTCACTTACCTGGTTGTAGTTGTAGGGTGGATCAAATGAGATAACATTGGTAAAGTACTTTGCAAGCCAGATAGCACTATATTGTCATCAACACCAACATCATCACCATCATCATCACCATCATCATCACCATCATCCACCAACATCACCATCACCATCATCATCATCTTCATCATCACCATCATCATCATCATCATCATCATCATCATCGTTATTATAGAGGAACAGTCCAAAGCCATACTGACTTCTACCCAATCTCAGCACCATTTAACTGTGGAAGAAAACCTTTATATTCTACATTTCACCCAAAGTCTATTAGAGACAATTTTATTGATACTCAAGCATTCCTGTTGAAAGGTAGCTCCAAAGTGGAGAGGTTTCCTCTACTAATTGGAATTCTCTCTGACCCAAGTAATATTCCCTTACATTTTGTAGTGATCAAAATCCCAAAGGTACAATTCTACAGCTAGCTAAGACAAAAGTACAAAATTCAGTCTTTTTAAAATTTTTCTGATTTGCAATAGCAAGGTCAAGGTTTTTTGATTTGCTTAAACCAAACAACAGGCATGTCACTATTGGTGTGGCCTTGGAGAAATGACTGTTTGAATCTATTCGATCTGGCTGGATGAACAAAGACGTTGCTCTTAATTGGATGAATTCAAAAGATATTGCCACTCCTAGTTTGATAATCATAGTTTCATGGAATCAGGATTCCTTCCCAAACTTGACTCAGTCTTCTTTTAAAAAGCAGCTAGGCAATGCAATGGATAGAGCACTGGGCCTGGAGTCAGGAAGACCTGAGATCAAATCCAGCCTCATGTATTTCCTATCTGGGCGACCTTGGCTAAGTCACTGAACTTCTGTTTCTTAACTGTAAAATGGAGATTATATTGTTGTGAAGAGCAAATGATATAGCATGTGTAAAGTTCTTGACACACAGTAGGTACAACATAAAAGCTAACCGATATTGTTTTATTGTTCTATTACAGAAACTGATTGAGTCTTTGATGAAAAGAAAACTATGGATTGCAGAGCAGGCCATTGCTGCCTTGACATTTATTAGGCCTTGATAAGGTCTTTCACTCAGTTGGGACTAATGGCTTTAGACTAAGACACCATATAATATTATTTCTTAATTTTAAAAAGAGATTTCCAGCCAAGATGGCTACTTGAACAGAGGAGGACAGCTTAGCTCTCCTACACCTACTGCAGAAAACCAGACAAGTCACATAATGAATGAGATTTTCCATTAAGAGCTCAATCAAGAAAGCTTCCAATGGGAAATTCCCATAAGTCTCTAGTGTAGGAAGCTGGGTACAGGGATATGATTGAGGTGGCAGTTCCCCATGTCAGAGTCTTCCTAAGGTCTTTCTCTCTCTCCTCAGGTACCTAAAGAGAATCTGGAACCACACGTCTTTTCTCAAGACTGGAAACCAGAATACCAGGATCTCTCCTCCCCTAAACTCTCACCAATTTGGCCCCTCACACAGATGAGCAGCATTGAGTAATTAATTTCCACCAGTGAGGAGAGTCTTATGCAAATAGGCTTTAAGCAAAATCACAGCAAGCCAAATAATGATCAAGAAATCCAATGAGATGATAGAAAATGCTATCCACATCCAGAGAAAGAACTATGGGGTCTGAATGCAGATTCAAGCATACTTCTCTCTCTCTCTCTCTCTCTCTCTCTCTCTCTCTCTCTCTCTCTCTCTCTCTCTCTCTCTC